TAGGTAGAGGTAACAGCAAGATCAATGACACTGATCTTAAAAGGTAGGGTAACCTGGTGGTGAAGCCTCCCCACTCTGGACACAGACTGCCTGGGGCTGGTTCTTTGTGCTAGTAGTTGTGTCTTTAGTCAAGTTAATCTCATCTCTCCAGCCTCCCTGTTGAAGCTGTTTTGGGGATAATTGTGATACCCTTCTCATAGGATTAATAGTAAAGATCAAATGAGAGCATCAAGCACAGCACCTACATATAAGAAATACTCAATACATGTTTATTATTATTATCTAACTGGGAAATCAGGAGGTAGGAAAAAGGTGGGCTTGGGTTTGTATAAGGGTAAAGGTCTTATATACCAGGCTCCTGAGGAACTCACATTCCATTAGAAATGAAAACCCCTCAAGGACTGAGACCATATTTACCTTGTCACTGGGAACATCCTGGAGGGTCTGGCACTAAGAGGACATTAAAAATATACAGAAGGGAAAAAAAAAACCAGAATATGCCTCAACTCACAATTTCCAACTGTAGAATTTCTGCCCAGAATGCAGATTGGGGAAGTAGATCATGCAATTTGTTCATTCACTCAGCTGGTCAACAAACATTTAAGAAACTCCACATGCCAGGCAAGTGAACAAAATGCACTCCTGCTTCTCAAGGAACACAGAGTCTGATCAATAGAGAGCCCAACAAACGGCCCATTTCAGTAAGAACTCTTACGTGCCCCAGGCACCAAACATAGCCTTCGGCATTATTTCATAGGCACTTCTTTTGTTGGGTATGGAAGGATATCTCTGAGTCCCTACTGAGAATGCTGAAGATTGTGTTTGAAATGAGTCAAGACAATGTTCACCTGCTCATCAAAACAAGGTGACAGGAAATGGGAGGGAGGCAGGGAAGAACTCTTGCACTTGAGACGGGGACGTGGAGTGGCCAAGTCGGCAACTCTCTGCAACTCAGCTCTCTGGTCTGTAACTCTGAGGTAGGGTTACATTATTTCCTCTTCGTGTACTCGGTTCCTCCCGCCAACTCCTACTGCTGGCGTTTCGAGGTTCCTCAGTGTGGCCCTTCGCTTGGTGCTCTTACCATCTGGCAAACTCTCCCCGAGTTATAGCCAGTTCTCTCTGAGGGCTCTCTGCCAATGGATTCGCCCGCTGATGGCACATCACTGGCCGTTCTACAGGCACATGAAGTCCAACACATGCAGAGCTGAGCTGGGCACCTTGTGCACGTTCTCTCATTTCTGACTTCCCCCTTGAGAATCAAGAATCGACACGGCTGCCGAAGCTCATGGCCTGTGCCATCAACTTCACTATTTTCCTCGCCCGCAACTGTGGGTCAGGTACCGCCAGTTTGTGTCCTAACACCTGTGGAACTCATCCCTGTGTCTAGGTATCCCAGAAACAGCTCCAATTCAAGATGCGAGGTCACGCAGGGTGGCTCACACACGTAATCCAAACACCTTGGGAGGCCAAGGCGCGAGGAATGCTCGAGCCCAGGAGTGCGAGACCAGCCTGGGCAGCACAGGAAGACTTTGTCTCCACAAAAGGGAGAGAATGAGCTGGAGCAGAGGCAGGCCCGTCGCGCCAGCCCTCGGAAGGCTGGGGTAGGAGGAGGGCGTCATCCGGGAGCTCGAGGCTGTGGTGAGCCGCAGTGCTACTGCCCTCTAGCCTGGGGGACAGAGTGAGACCCCAACTCAAAAAAACAAAACAACTCAAGGCGTGACTCACGACTTCCCCCTCCGAAACCTGCTTCTCTTCTCTCGTGTTCCACAAGGGTGTCATCACGGCCCACTCAAACCCGGGACATGGACGTCGCCCCTGTTTTCTCCGGCTCTGCCTCCCACAACCAGGTGATGTCTGGCTTCGGCACCCACCTACTACTTCTCTCCTCCTCACTGCCGTCACTGCTCCCTTCCTGCAGTCGAACCCTAACCCTAACCCCCACCGTCTCCCGCGTTCGCTCCCTCTCCTTCACCCGCCCCGCTGAGCTCCCGAGGGGGGGACGGGGGACGGGCGCTTGGGGAGGCCGGGCGCTTGGGGAGGCCGGGCGCTTGGGGAGGCCGGACTCGGCCACGTTGAAGTCCACGTCCCCTTTTC